ATATGAATTCCTTTCCATTCGCTCTCTAAAAAACGCTTTTTACCGCAAAATTTGCGCAAAATATTTATCAAGATAAAAAGAGATTTTTTCACTAAATTTTTAGGAGTTTTTTGACGAAAACATTACATGGAAACCGCATATTGTCTATATCTGCTCAAAATTATCTAAAAGTAATGGAGTCTTATATAAATCCAGGTCAATTAAACAAAAAATCCTTAACCCAACTTTATTATTCATTTATGCACATATATATAAATTATGCTAATATAGTTTAGGAAGCACTGAAAAAAGTAAGTTACGATGTCTTTATCGCTGTCATAAGCATGTGATCTGCTTGATTAATTTTGCGGATCGTTTTACTCACTCCAAACCATTATTTATGGAGATGAAAATAGTAATATTTACGAGCTCAATGTTTATAACATTCTATGGTTTATATACATGTGGAAAAACAATTTAACTTTACTTATCTTTAAAGACCTTTTTCTGGAAAACCAATTAAAAACTATTTTCTTAGAAAAAAAAAAATTGTATACTAACCAATTTGCATAACAAAGTTAAACAAATTTTGCATTACATTTCGAGCACCATATCTTTGGAATAAAATCGTTTTACCTAATTTTGATATATCCAATAGTTTTCCGATCCATAAAAATAAACTTAAAAATTGTCTATCTATTGATGGTATATTTAAGTTTTTATAAAGTATATGTCTTTTTAATTGTAAGACTGTTGCATTTTCTCTTTCCTGTTATAAAGAGATATCTTACTATATTTACTTTGTATATATATTTATATATGGTATGTATGTATTTGCGTTTTTATAACCCTGACTGAAGGCTAGGAGATGCAAGCTCTGACATAAAACACCACTTCCTTGGGGCTCTTGGTTTAGTAAAGGCTAGAGATGGTGTCTCGAAAAAAATACTCATCTTGGGCAGATGTTACATGCATCCGGATGCTGTTTTGTAGAAGGCCTCCTAGGCAAAGACTTAAGGGGTAAACAGATTCTATCTGTTGATCAGCCTCGCACCCCTTCTTCATCTATTAGTCTGGCGCAGATGTATTTTTAATACATTGTTTCCATTTTAGGATGTTGAAAGCTGGATCTTCTTGACTCGATGCATGGGTTTTGCTTGTGTCTCTGTTTTTATGACTAGGCAACTCATTCTATTATCTCCAAATGAGGGTACAGCTCTAAAACTCAGTTTTATGGTTCTGAGGCCGGCTGGTAGTTAGGTTTCTCGAACTCTGTGGTAGCTCTCAGAGAGGCTGATTCCATCAACAGCTGAAAAATATCAAAGTACTAACAGTGCCATGTTGCGCATGGATGGTGTCCCTGTTTGTACTTTTGGTGTGCATTGCCAAGGCCACATTGGAACCCTTTGTTACGGCTTAGGGTTTATTAATAGAAATGAGGCAATTGTTTGGGCTATAAAACAGTGTACTGAGTACTATCTATGTTTCGAGTCAAGTTCTTTAACAAATTTAAAAATGAATAAAGTAACAAAAACTATAAAACACAAAAAACCACAGTCATCACCAATTTCGCTAAACCTATCATTCACTAATATTCGTGGTCTTTGAAGTAATTTTTCTTCTGTTGAGTCTTATCTCTTGCAAAGTTCACCAGACCTACTTGCTCTTTGTGAGACTAATTTGAGTTCAGCTGTCTCATCTTGTGATCTTAGTGTTGATGGTTATCTTCCTTTAATTTGTAAAGACTCCAACAGTCACATGCTTGGCCTGGGCATTTACTTTCGTAAGAATTCACCCATTTGTCGGGAAACTAGGTTTGAATCCACAAACTACTTTTTTATGTGCTTTCGTTTAGCACCACTTCACTCTATCACCTTTCTATTTGTTTTATATCGCTCTCCTTCATCTCAAGACTGCACTCTTCTTGATGTTATTTCTGATCATATTGACCAAGCCCTCTCTCTTTATCCATCAGCCAATATTGTTGTTGTCGGTGACTTCAACGTTTATCACACTGAATGGCTTGGATCTAGTGTCAGTGAGGCATTAAGCCCCACAACTTTTGCCTTTCTTAATCCCTAACTCAAATAGTCAACTTTTCAACTCGCTTTCCAGATAACCCGAATTATTTACCTTCTCTACTCGACTTATGTCTTGTTTCTGATCCTAGTCAGTGCTCAGTTTCTCCACACTCACCCTCAGGTGATTCTGATCATGGTTTTGTCTCTCTAAAACTATTATCTCATTCTTCTTTACCATCAGAATCCCCCTATCATCATACATCTTACAACTACCTTAAAGCTGACTGGGACTCTTTCCGTGATTTTCTTCGTGATGGCCCCTGGGTGGAAATTTTTCGTCTTCCTATTGACAAATGTGCTTCTTACATAACTTCGTGGATTCAGGCTGGAATCCTTTATTCCCTCTTGACGATTCCAGGTCAAGTCTCACTCTTCTCCATGGTTTTCCTCACATTGTGCTACTGCAATTGCCAATCGAAACCATTACTTCCATATCTATCAGCAAAACAATTCTCCAGAAAACAGTCGTCTTTTCATTACTGCTAGGAACCATTGTAAAAAGGTTTAACGCCAAAGCCCGCTATTCTCAGATCATGAAATCTCGTATTTCATCACAAAAGTTAGACTCTCGTGATTTCTGGAGAATCTTTAATAGTATCAATAATAAGGGAAAGTCTGTAATTCCACCTCTTTTGTATGGTTCAGACTTTGTTACCTCACCAAAAGACAAAGATGAATTGTTTGCTAAGAACCTTTCATCAATATCATCTCTTGACTCCACTAGATGCGCTCTACCTGATATAGCGTTCAAACAGGTTGATCCATTGCTCGACATTCATATCACTCCAGCTTCTGTATCTAAAGCGATTTCCTGCTTAGACTCTTCTACAGCTTGCGGCCCTACAACATACCTGTTATAGTCTTGCTGAAGTGTTCTCCGGAGCTGTTGTTTATCCTTTCAAAACTATTTAACAAGTGCTTGTCAGAGTCTTGTTTTCCAGCCTGCTGAAAAGCAGCATCTGTAATCCCTATTTTTAAGAATTCTGGAGAGCAATCCAATTCATTTAAATACCGTTCCATTAGTCTTCTTCCTATCATAAGCAAGGTTTTTGAATCTTCAATTAAAAAACACTTAATCTCTCATCTTGAATCTCATAATCTACTTTCTGATCATCAATATGGATTTTTTTTTTAAAACATCTTTGCTTCCAATAAGGTTGCAACACTAATTAGTGTTGGAAGCTACTCGAAGAGAAAAGATGAAGGTTGTAGAGCAAGATAACGATTGACAGACAACTTAAAATTTTTCAAATTATATGAATCAGGAAAGCAAGATGAAGGAAGCGAATTCCAAAGAACTGATGTTCGAGGAAAAAAACTAGAGGAATAAGAGTTTTTGGAGCACTTAGGAACAGTCACAAAAAAAGGATTAGACTTAATTGAATGACGAGTAACGCAAGAATGAATTTTAGTAGATGGTACAAGAGACGTTAGCTCTTTCGAGCAGTGCCTATTATAGTATTTGTAGAAAAGAGAAAGAGAAGCAGCATTACGACAATATGATAATGGTTGAAGGTTGGCTGCAAGAGCAGGTCCAACTATGCTTACAATGCGTTTTTGCACCTTGTCTAAAAGAGAAAGGGTATCATCAGAAGATCCACCCAAGATATGGCAACAGTATTCCATACAAGACCGGATTTGAGATTTATAGAGATAGAGAATAGAAAGAGTAAGAAAGTGTCGATTTGATATATGGTTTCCAAGTAAGATCAGAAGTAATAGACAATCCTAGAAGATGAAGGGTAGATGACTTATCGAGTTCATTACCGTTCATAAATTTAGGAAGGTCTAAATTGTTGCGATAAAGATTGGCTGAAAAAAATTATCTGAATTAAAGTTCACTAGCCACTTTGAGCCCAATGTTGTAGCAGAAGTAAGATCTTTTTCAAGCTTAAATGCCCCCTCGAAGCAATCAAAGAGTGTTGGCTTCTTATCATGACAAGAATAAATGGTAGTATCATCAGAGAACAATACCACCTTAGATGTTAGAGTATCTGGGAGATCGTTAATGTAAATTAAAAAGAGTATAGAGCCAACGATTGAACCTCTGAATCTCTGATTGAGAAATCTCTGAGGTTACAAAATAAGAAAAAGGTTGCTGCCTTTCAAAGACAACTTTTATTCTACGATTGGAAAGAAAGAATTCAATAATCTTAAAAATGTATCCAGATACACCGTAAGAAGAAAGCTTATGGAGAAAACCAGCATGCCAAACTTTATCAAAGGCTTTAGAAATGTCAAGAGCGATGGCCTTAACCTCTCCACCTTTATCTAACGCACGATAAAACCTATCGGTTATTACTGTTAGCAAATCAGCCGTAGAAAGAGAGGATCGAATTCCATATTGATGATCAGAAAGTAAGTTATTAGATTCAAGATGAGAGATTAAGTGTTTGTTAATTAAAGATTCTAAAGTCTAATACATCTTCCTATATGTTTTCAATATATAGGAAGAGGTATTAGACATCCCTGCAATAGAAAATCACCCAGCAGGCACACAACGTTGTATTAACGTTTTATTTACGTTAGATTTTATGTTAGTATAATGTTGTCGGTTCGGCAAAATGGAAAGGTTTTGTAACGTAAAATTCTTACGTTAGATTTACGTTAGATATTAACGATATATTAACGTAAAATTCTAAACGTTATGATAATGTAAATACAAGTTGGAAAAACATTGGCGTTTTATTTTAACGCAAAATAATGATTGTAATTGTGTAATATTTAATGTTAATATAGCTATTGTTATATTCATATAACCCTGAGCCACGCGGCTTCGTGTCATGTTTATTATATGAATATAACCGTATATATTAACATTAAATGTTAAACACAATTACAATCAATATTCAAAGTTAATATAAAGGTTTTTAACCCCTTAAAAAGGATTAGAAAAATAGTTTTGGGAATATTCAAACTAAAAATACAATAAATGTTTTTAAAGATTTTTTTAAAGATGTATTATATATTCTTTTGTATTATAAATTTACAAAAAAACTCAAAAATAAATAATTGTTTAATGGAGAGAACTTTAAAATGCTTCCTATTTGATCTTTTGTTTGCTTCCGTCGAACTCTCGTGCGTTAGCTGGACGACTTCTAAAATACAAAACGGGATATTGTAAACGCGATAACAGTTAAAAATTTATTTTGTTTATAATTGACTACTTGTTTGATTTTCAATGCTAACATTCAAGTTTTAAGACTTATATATATCTAAGAATAAAAAACATATGTAAGGAAGAAAGGATAGATAGAACAATACTGAGCTATTATCAACGTACCAAAATTATTGCTTTACACAACTTTTTATTTTCGAATGATACCTTCTTTATATCACCACGAATTTTACTTTTCATATTGAACTTGGGCTTAAGATGATGCTCCATAATTCTATAAAAACGTAATAACAAATAATAAATGGAAAATAACAACTTTGTTATATTACATTAAGTGATCCAGCGAATTTATTTAAATAATTGTAAATACACATTGGAGTAATAATTCAAAAAGTATAATTTTGAAGGTTCTTTATTTTTAAACTTATAAATTCAAAGTTTCGACATTGAATTAAAAGTGAAACCTGTAGGGGAGAACCTAAATAAATGGGGCAGTTTTTGTAAAATGTTTTTTAAAAGTTGATAAAGCTGCTTAATTTATACATTGAAAATTATTTGATAACCATTTACTATCACACTATGTGAGAGTTGATGGTTAAATTTACATGGTTTATATGGTGACCATGATAGGAATAATGATTTGGTCTGTTAAATTGTTGTGTTTAACATTTCTTACCACAGGAGTTTGGATATCTATAAATGTAAATTTGATTTTGTCCCATTCAATAAGCGTTAAGGTTCTCCCCAAACATTAATATTAAAATTGTTTGTTTTTCTAAATTACTTTCCTTGGGCTAGATTTTTCTATAAAATTTACTCACAATTTAAATAGTTTGATTATTCAGAGTTAAACAAAAATACATACCTGACCATAACATTTTTTGTATTTTCTTTAAAATTTTTCCACCTGCTTTTATGAGGTGACAAAGCTAAAACATAAATAAAAGTTTAGAGAAAATTTCATGTTGGAATAACACAGGATTAGATTTATTTGGTTGTTTTTCACAGTTATTCTATCAAAGCAACGAAATAATAATTGCTCAACCAAATATAAGACAAAATAGTTTAACAAAAATACAAGACTGTAAAAAACTCTACAGAATGTAAATGGTTATCAGGTCACTAAGTTAATTCTCGATTTATAAGTAGGAATTTACTTTATACAACATATTGTGGTAAAATGTAAGAATGATTAAAATAGGCTTATCAAGAAAACGATGAACTTAAATAGCATTCTATTAAACAGACAAACTTTAAAAATAGAAATTATAAATATAAATTACCAACTTATTGTTCTCCCCGTTGTCTTTTAATCTGGTTTCAAGCTCATAAAATTCCTCAAGGGACTCTATTTTTTTTAAAATGGTTATGCTTACACTTTCTGACTTTTTATTGGCACATTAGCAACACCTTTTCTCAAGAGTTAATTGAAGTTATATATATAATACTAAAAACCATTTGCAAATAATAACTCATACTCATGCAAAAAATCATATTAAAAATCATCACAATTATTTGGCTTGATATCACTAACAAATAATGCTACAGTAAATAGTGTCACTTTGTCAAACATACATAATATAGGCTGAACCCGTGTGTTTGATGACTTTAATAAAGGAATGCTATCTACATTGACAACTAAAGAAATTGTATTTGACTCAAATCTGTAATGCTGGTTGATTGCTAAAGTTCTTGATTTGTCATTTGAAATACCAAGGTAAACATATTTACCCCCACATTTTAACTTGCTTGGAATATTCCTAGAAGCATTTAAAATTTTCCTTGTACATTTTGGTAAATCAACATTATAACTATACTGGTGTAAATAGTTAACAATTTGTTACTTGCATTTTTAGTTATTCTGTGTTTTAAAATCCATTTGGCAATCTCTGTAACAAGTACTCATACGTTATGTAACAAGTACGTCATGAAGATCTTCATTATCATCACTCACAGGAACCTCAGAGTCTAGAATAGAACTCTCAGTTCCAGAAGTATATTTATGATCAGAGACAAAATAAAAGTCACAATAGTTCTTAATTTTAATGTTTTTGAAATCAATTAAACTCTCGACTTTATTAATATTATTAATAGTCGACATGTGATGTGAGTCAATTTCTTCATTTACAAGTACATTGTTTAAGGCTCGATTACTTTGGTGCCATTCCCTCAAGTATTGATTTTTCTCTTATTTATTCATTTTTATTATTCTGAAATAAACATAAATTTTAGTAGTTTTAACAATAACAAGATAATAATGAAAACTAAATACAATGAAAAATAATAATAAGAAAAATTAATTTTTATTAATAAAAAAACAGGATAAAACTTATTTAAAAAAGGTAATATTCTTATATTTCCTAAACTTTAAAGAGTTAATATTATTATCCTCTCATCAAACTACATTTGTTGTATGTAAGTTTTTTTACTTGCTAGCTCATTAATCTCATATAGTTGAATGTTTGTATTATAGTCATAATTAATAGTCATAATTGTGCTGGAAAATAAGCTAAAAACAATTTTTGGAAAAACAGTAAGAGCATTTGCTGGCCTTTATTAGCTATGGTTATTTAGACTAAAATAAAAAGTAGTTTAAAATAAAACCTGAAAATAAAAATTAGGTATAACAGGTTTTTTAACAACAAAATGTAAACCTTAAACTTTAGTTTGCAAAATAATGTCAATTGTATTTTTTTTTCAGTTCATTAGTTTAACATTAAATTATTAAGTTAAATAGATTATTTTAACTAAAACATAACTAAATAAATATACAAATTAATACTAAAAATGTGAATATACAAGAAGATTACAGGTATAGTTTATACTATAAATATATAAAAAAGAACTGCTTAACAATTGCTTGCATTCTCTATACATATTGTTTGACATTTATTTACCAATGGAGAGGCCTTTTCAATATTTGCAATATGATCTTTACTTGAGTTTTTGTTGAAGACTCTCTATGCTTTCTATGAATGAAAATTTTAAAATACATTTTATTTTACTTACTTTACAATTTGATTTTTTAAACACTTAATGCATAGCAGATGCTTGGTGAAGACATTTGAAAAATTAACATTCCAGTTTCAAATTAATAATATACTTACGTTGTTTGTCAAAATATAAGCAAAGCAACCAGTTTATTGAAATTCATTTCCGCAGTTAATTTGATTTAAAATATTATATTATATTGCTCAGAGTGAATAACTATCAGATTCAAAGGGTTGCCATGACAGCTTTATTTGCATGAGCATTAGGTTCTAACCGACTTGATATTCGTTTGTAAAATATTCGACATATTAATTCTTATTAATAATAAAAAATCTAAACTTAGCTATAAATTTTGGTTCTGTTAAAGCAATATAAAATAGTTGCACAACCCTGCACAACCCACAAGCCTAAAATGAGATTAAAAGAAGAAAAATTATAATAATAATTACCCAAATACATATGTTTCACTCCACCACTGATAACAATATGAAAATAATTTTCTGTGTAATTATCTTAGTATTAATTATCATATTTGTGTTATCAAAATTCAAAAAATTAAAACTTAAACACATTTAAATGGTCTCGAGATTAGTATTTATGGTTAATCTGAAAAGAACTGTACGTAAACACTGCTGTAAAATATTTATTTAGAAAAGCAACACTTACTGTTAAAAATTTATTCAATAAGCAGGGTAAAATAAATATATTATTATAATAATTAAAATAATATATTTATTTTTCTAAAATAAACCTTTTTAATCAAACATTTATTAAATCTTTTATCAGCAATTCAAAGTTTTAAATAATTGTGCGCTGTTTATTTTCAAATATTTTATGAAAATTCCACGAATGTCTTTTAAAAGACAATGCAAACCTTCAAACTTAGCTAATTATCTTTTAACTAAACTTATTTTCCAGCTTTTAATACGCCATCTTTAAAGAAAATATAAATAATTATTTACGGCAGATTTTTTTATAGTTACCAGAACTTCGTACGTTATTTTTTTACGTTGTCCGTATGTTAGCTCAACGTTAGAATGTTAGGTTTTTACTTTAATGTTTTTTTAACGTTGCGTCAACGTTAACTTAACGTAAGAACATTACGTTAAAAAGATTACGTTGACTCAACGTTGATTTAACGTAAAGTAACGTAAAACGCAATTTTAACATAAATACAATGTTAGTACAACGTTGTGTGCCTGCAGGGCAACTGCTAAAAAACTAAAAAAAATTATCATGTCATAAGATCTAATATTTTCTGAACAGGTAACATCAACAATTCCAAAAACAATTGGGGATGAAAAACAGGGTAAGGTTAAACTATCAACATGTGGAACATCTTTCCAAGGTGAACATTTACACCTTGGAAAGATTATCTCTCCAAAAAATATTAGTCTAGACACAGTATTTAACATCAAAAAATACATGATCTGCCTGAATGTTATTAAAAGTATGTTCACTGAAATAAGAAAAGATATTAGTTGATCAGGATTTGAAACCAATGTGCAGATTGGTTTCAGTTAACGAGGTCCTTTAAAAAAATTCCTTTTTTTAAAGGATCTCGTTCCGTTCCCCGTTCGTTTTTGTAAAGTAAAAACTTTTTCCAGCTCCTCATTCTTTAGTCAAAAAAAGAACTTGCTCCTCCTTCCTCAAAAAATAGAACTCGTTCCTACTTCGTTTCTTTTTTTAATACATATTTTTTATTTCGAAAATTGTAAAAGTAATTTATTGTTTCACTTAGCGAGCATTGCTTTTTTAACATGTTTTATTTAGTTCTTCATTTTAATAGTTTTTAAACATTTCTGGTATCCTGCCGGCTTGACTGCATCAGCATGTACTTTTTACACATATAAATGATATATTAATTTTAATAACTTTTCAAAAATCACCAACAATTTCAATAATTGGATCTATTTTACAAACTAGAACCGCGTGTAATAAAATTATATTGAAAATTATATTTCGGATTTTATTGGCTATATGTACTAACTTTAAAACTATATTGGTAACCAATATAGTTTAAAATTTAGTATTTATGGCGATTTAAATATGAACTAATTCCGAACTAATCGACAATCAGTATAGTTTATAAATTAGTAGTTACGGCTGTTGGCCAACTAAAATCAAACTTAAATTTGATTTGATTTGAATACAACACTTTTTGCTTTTGAACCGTAAAAACAACTCGGCGAAATCCGAATTTAAAAAAGTTTTTAGGAACTATTACTTTTTGTTCACTTTCTTCCAAAATAAGAACTCGTTTTCTTTCCTCGTTCCGTTATTTTAAAAGGAACCAGTTCCTAGCTTTGTTCATCAAAAAAAGAACTAGTTCCAGAAATCCGTTTCTTTTGGAACGCGTTTTTCCAAACACTACACTAAATCAGTTTAATTGCGTTCAGCAGTTGACATTTCAGCAAAGTGCTAACCATACAGAGGTTCAAACGATGTAGTATATGTGGAAGATATACCTATGCTTGTTGATGAAATATGCAAACAAAAAGATATTGTTTTCCGAGAATAAATTGTGAAGATTGGTATCAACGGCGGCCAAGGGTCAGTTAAAGTTGTTATGAGCCTATTTCAATCAAAAAAACTTGAGAATCAATTAAGGAACCAAAAGGACTCGGGTGTAAACAAAGTTATTTTATTGACAATTGTCCAATATGTTGAAGAAAACAGCTATAATTTAGCCCGAATTGTTCACTTTTTCAAACTGAATGAATGGAAGTACTTCCTTGCATCAAACCTTAAACTTATCAATATCATGCTAAGATTATCCGCCCATGGTGGGAAATATGCATGTGCTTATTGTGTTGGTGCAAAGGACAAATTAGAAGAATTTAGAACCTTTGGTAGTCCCATCAGTATCAGCAATTTGTTGATGCAGGAAAACCACACAAGTTGATGCAGAACTTTTTTAATGTCATCAACCCATGTCTTTTTGATGAGAACCCGGACAGCCTGGTATTGAATGTTACACCTCCACCAGAACTGCATCTCTATGAGCATGTTATCACACAGGTGTAAAGAGTACTATTTTCAAATATGTCTTTAACTAAGTTCTTAAAATAAAAAACTGTTACTCATCATGGCTACAATGGTGGAGGACTAAATGGACCTAATTGTCAAAAAGTTCTAATGTCATTAGATGAGATAATAATAGTAGCGCCGCTGAAATATCACAAGTGTATTAACACACTAAGAAAATTTAAAGCAGGTAAATTTTAATAAATAAAATATTGTTAACATACTTGAAGATATTTATAAGTTGTATTATTTTATTTGTATCGCTTCTCGGCCTAATGGCTAAGTCAAGTGTAGTATCTGTTCTTATTTCGGCTCCGGACCATCTAACAATTGGTTACGGTGTTGTTAGAAAGCAGAAACAGCATGAGATCGAAACCGTGACAGTCGATAGAGGTTCTTGGCGTAGTCGCTTTTTCAGTGTCTCCTTCTACGTCCGGAAGGCGATCCGTCCACTCCGGACGTTAAATGGAGATAAACCTTAAGTAGGCGCTGCTCAGTTTCGGCTGAATGGCAACTAATAAACCCTTAAGTGGGCCATACGTGGAGTTTCGGCTCCTTTATAATGCCGGCCTTCTAGTAGAACCCTGTGTAAGTCTGGTTTCAGCAGCAGATGTCTTTAGTTTGGTTGGTTGAATAAAAATAATATATAACTATAGTGACTGAGAGTTGTTTTGGAATGACATTAGATCCGTCTTATGATTATAAAATTAAAGCTTTTATCGTTTCCATGGACTACATAAACAATTATGTTGAAGAAATGTTTAACATCAGTATGTCACTTAAATGGAAGTATCATATCATTAAATATCACTTGAAAGATTATTTGGAACACCATCAGATGTCTCTCGGTCTGGCGTTAAAACAAACCTTAGAAGCTGTTCACAAGAACATTAATAAGACTATCAAGAGGTTTAGTGTCTCGGAAAGTAATCTTTCTCATGGAATAAAACTGAGAAGAGTGGCTGAAACATACAGTTCAATGAGAGTATAAAGAAATGAATTGGATATCAGTTGGGTAAGATTAAGAACCTGTATATCTATAAACTACTATAATTTCCTTATAAATGTCCTTTAAATCTCTTTTTTCCTATTTTTTAAATTAATGTTTGAGATATGAAATGTTTTGATGAGAAAACTATGATAGTATATTTTTAAACTATTTAAAATATTTGTAGCAATTATTTGGATTTAAATTCATAAAAAATATTTTTTTCTTGGCATTTTAAATTTAATATCAAAATTTGATTAAAAAATTTAACAAAAATTGTACATATATTTAATCTTTAGTTTTAATAACTGTTGTAAAGCGTTTTGGTTTTGATCTCTGTTTTTGAGTTGATGTAACTTAATTTGGTACATACTTAGCTAATCTTTCTTTGTATCAAAACTCAATGAGTTGGTTTATCATAATGGGATTGTTTTTGAACTTTTCAAGTTGTTTCCACTATTCTACATCAGCAAAAAATTTGTTAAGATTTTTATAGTTGCCTCTACCATACTTTGGTTTGATTAGTAATAATACCCTGGTTGGTGAGATTGATGGTTCAAACAAGAAACTCCATATAAGAATGCAATGGAAATTATTTTTAATTTAGATGCCAAGAGATGGAAAAGATTGTGTTTTATAATTCTGGAGGGGCAGTCAGTTAGGACCAGGTCAAGAGTATTATTGCCAAAAGTAGGTTTTGTGACATGTTGTGCAAGAACTGCAGTGTTGACAGATTCCAAAAAGTCATTGCTCATCATTGTTGCATTTTTCTTAGTGCTGCCGCCAGCTGCTGTCCACTGTATTTCAGGGTGATTGAAATCACCAATTATTCGTAACTCCTTACTTTTTTTTTTACTGTATTTGCAGCAGAAATTAGGCTGCAATTAATTCTTATGTTGAGTTCTATGCTTGCAGATGGCTCTCAATAAATACATTCAAAAATGAAATTTTTACTGAGTATATATATATGTGTATATATATATATATATATATATATATATATTTATTTTAAAACAGCTGAAACCTTTACTAAAATTCACAAAATAACAATTTTTTAACAATAAAATAGTTTTCATAAAACACTTAGTATTTGGTGGCATATCCATTTGCCATCAAAACAGCATCACAGCGACGAAGGATTGAGTCTACGCCATGGAGACGACGAGGGATTGAATGTTGATATAATACTCCTCGGGATGTTCTATGATGAGAACTTCTCGAGGAATATTATACTAACATTCTTTAATCAATGCAAATAAATGGTCTTTGTTGGTTGTTTTTCTACTAACTAATTTCCAGACGAAAGATGCTCAATAGGATTGAGATCTGGGCTGTGTAAAGGCCTTTCAAGAACTTTGATTTTTTTGGCTCATTGCTTTGGATCATTATTTTGTTGTAAAATCCATTTGCAAGTCATTTTATGCTTTGCATGCATAACATTCTTAATGATGTCTAAACAAACTCTGTGGTCCAAAATACCTTCTATGTGATGAATGGGACCCACATTGCCGCGAATAAAACATCCCCAAACTATAACATTTCCTCATTCATGTTTAACAGTGGTTAACTGATATTTTGAATTAAATCTGTCTTCTAATTCGTCACTACTGAATAGCATAAACTTTGATTCATCAGAAAAAGGACTTTTGACCAGTTATTAACCAACCAACTATTATGATCTTTTGCAAGTTTTTTTCTGGTTTTTAAATTTCTTGCAGATATTAGCGGTTTCTTGACTGAGCGACGGCCATACAGATCATCATGTCGTAATCGACATTTAGTTGTATCGACGCTGCAGTTTGTGCCATGGAACTGATGAAATGAATTAAGTTCGACAGCAGTTATGCGAGGATTATTTTTGGAATAACCTTTGAAACATCTCAAAGTAATTAAATTAATAAATTTCACAAATATTTTGGCTTTAATTTTTGGTTTTGTTTACAAAAACATGATTTAATTGCGGGGTATGATACTGTTTCTAAACTTTTGCACGGAAGCTTTTTCAAAAAACAATTAAAAGTTAAATAACCGTTCAATTTTGCAACTTTTGTGGTGTGATTTTAAATTGAAATAATATAGAGTACATTTGGTAAAAACTCCAGCTTATTTAAGAAAGTTTGTAAAAAGTTATGCAATAAAAACTGAAAAAAATTGGTGTTTCTAAACTTTTGTACACTATTGTACATTAGTTTATACAACGTTTTTAGAAAAAGAAGAAAAAACGAAGAATAATCAAAGAAAATGCTGCTTCATGCTAAAGTCTTAGTCAATACACTCCTTTGCGGCAGTAGGTTATAAGATTTCAATTTATGTACTGATGCCCTCGGTAGCAGGCTGTTTTAGTGTGACATCTAAGTGCTCATCTAAACACTCATTCATAGTTATATATTCAATAGCAGTGAAATATTTAAAAGTTAGTATTGAGTAATCATTGCAGTTAAACAGAGGGGAAAGTTTAGAAGGGGTCTCCTCACGAACTTTTTAGGGACCTTGCGATAAAACTGCTTTGTTTTCTTCTTGCTCCCACCATTTATATATTTTATAAATACGAGAGTTGTAATTATTTTAAACGGCAAAAATTAAGAAAAATAAATAAATAAAAAAACTTGAAGGAGCTGCAAGGTTGGCTCCTAAAAAATGTTTGTAAATTTAGGTATAGGATATAATTTGAACCACCTTTTTATTATAATAAATATGTTTCATAATGATATCTTATAGCGTACGATTATATGTTTATGGATCAAACAAATTACAAAATAAATTTATAAATACAAATTGATTACAATTTAAGAAGAACTAGTCGACAATGGTAGTAAAGAAAAAATTTAATTTCTTTTAATTTTAACTTCACTCTTTTTTTTCATTAGTGCTCTGATACTTTCGTCCCTGAACTTTTTTTGTCCTTTCCTCCCTGAACTTTTTTGGTCCTTAAACTTGTGCTTCTTCTATGGATAGGAAACATTTTTTTGTATTTTCTATTCGTAGACGATGCAAAGAAATGTTTGGAGGTTTTTTGTCGAGCTTTTGTGTATTTTTTGGCAAAAGTTCTATTTACTTTAATTGCTTCACTTTCTTTTAAAAAATGTTCATTTATATTTGTTTTTATAATAAAAAATACAACAACAAAAAATATTTACAAATGTATACAAATTTAAAATTATCAAAAAATTTCATATTAAAATATATATATATATATATATATATATATATATATATATATATATATATATATATATATATATATATATATATATATATATATATTTTATAATATCATACAAACGCCACTTTTTTTGGAGTTTTGATTAACATCGTATTTAATAAGATCTTGGCGTAGAGTTGATTGATAGTCCTAAAATAAATAAGATGAGTTATTTGATTATTTAGAAAATAATTTATTTGTATATGTTGAAAAAACATACTATAAATTTATCAGTTTCAAAAGGATGCTCATCTCCGAACTTTGCTTGGTATAATTTATTGTCTTGGTCAACATCTATTGTTTCGTAATCTCGCTTTAGCTGGTTGTATATGCTAAAATAAATGTTAAAATAAAAGTGAAGTTGATTTTTTAACTGGTTTTGTAAAGACTTCAATAATTTTCATATTTATCACCGAGACAACCAAAATTGTTTAACAAAGTATCCAAAGGAATTTAGAAGTTAATGATAAACAAAATAAATAAACTGAATGAGATTTTAAAAAACAACTTGATCTCACATTTCAAATGCGCTTGTTCGGTTTAAACATGCTTGGTAATTTAAAAGACTTTCTTTGACAAAGTTTTTTCGAGCTTCTTCGAATGTTTGACAATTGTTAAACTCGTATCTCATGTCATCTTGATATTTTGGATTATAGTTGCTAATATCTCTTATTGCTTCTTCGTACTTTCCACGAGTTATTGATACTTCCTCTTCAAGTTTACGTAGTTTATCTTTTAATCTCTTTTGGTCATCTGGAACATCTGAAACAGCTTTTATATTATTTATTTTCAAGACAGCATCCAATGAGTCGCCAGCATTATGATAAGCAATCATGCACTTTAATACTAATAATGTATAAAATAGGTAGTTTAGAAACTTTTCAAGCAAAAAATAAAATTCGAAGACAAATAATAATTATAAACCGACGCTAAATATAAAGGCGCACTTACTGTCAAAAGTTAACGTCAAAGTTGCTAATGATAAAAAAAAATTAAATAAGGGCCCTAGAGCCGTCATTTAATGTGTTACCAGCTTGTAATAGATCGAAATTACTTTTTACTTTCGATATTAACTACTAGACTATTTAAAGGGTCGTGGTACTCGTTTTGAGCAACCATTTAAATATAATTTTTTTTTTATAATATTCAAATGGTTGTATTTGGGGTAAAGCTAAAGAAACATATATTACGCAAACTTAATGACAATTTGTATTAGGTGACAAATAATTTCTAGTAAAAAGTTTAATTGTCTGAAAAAAAATTAAAACAACTCTGAGTCAAATTTATATTAAAGGATTTCTTTAAAAGAAAATTGGGAAAAGGTAATGACGATTGACAATACTCTTAACATCACTCCAACAACAAGTTTTTCCCAATTAAGTTTAAATTTTATATAAGAAAATGAACTACAAACTTATTCACACCAATATTGTATGTACTTTGTTTTTTATAAATAAGTTAAAGAAAAAAGCAACAACAAGCAGATAAATAATAAATATAGGTGGCTTAAAGAAAATACGAGCGCCAAAAAGCCTTAAATCTGAAAATAAATGATATAGGGAAAAGCGGGGCAACATGGCGAATGGGGCAAGATGGGTTTTCATATAACTATTCAACAAAAAATCTTAAAATTGAGTGAAAACGAAACTGTATTTACATTTTGTATTTTAAAACACCAATTGGTTTTTTGAAATATTATTAACGCAATTTTATACGCATAAGTTTACTTTTTATGCCTAAAAAAAAATCCTCACTTTCGGTTTCTCATAACGGATGGTGTCCTTCAAGTTTAACTTCTTTAGAAGCAGTTTTTGGTGATCTGTGTTCATTTTTTGTTACTTTAGTTAGAGTTATTGGTAGTTTTCAAAATTTTATAAAATTGGAGGTAAAAATTAAATAATGTCATCTTACCCCGGTCACGTCACCAGATGACAAATTTATGAACTTTTTGTTTTAATATTTATTTCAAATTGTTATATTTGCAAACGAAAAATTCATGCAGGTAATAAATCATTTTAATAACATAAACATACTCAGAAAGTATTATTGCTTCACGACAGATAGTTTTGCAATAACTCAGGGCTTTCACGTTCGCCTTGTTGCCCCGCTTTCCCCTACTAGACAAACATCTATAAACGTTTTAGGTGTTATTTTAGACAAAAATTGGTCATACAAATAAGCACTCTCGAAAATTGCATTGATGTATAAAGCAAAACTATTTTTTAACATTAGGACTTTAAAAAATCTATATTTTTCCTTTGCACATAGTTATTTAACTTACAGCAATATTGTATGGGCAAACACCAGTTACATTAAGTTAAACAAAATCTATTATAAACCAAAACATGCTTGCAGAATTATATTTATAGCAACAAGAATTGTTGCCATAAATATAATTCTGCTAATTTTGAACACATTTAATGCATTAAGTTTACGTAAAAATGGCTCACAAGACTTGTTGCTATAAATATAATTCTGCAGAATTATATTTATAACAACAAGTCTTGTGAGCCATTTTTACGTAAACTTAATGCATTAAATGTGTTCAAAATCAACAAACACCTAGTTATACAGTTCATGTATAACATCATAAAATGAACTGTCTCCAAAATGTTTTATCTTTATTTTACCGGACTAAGTTGTAAATATCCCACCAAATAGGTCCCTATTTTGTGGAAAAATTTCCATCACATTAGTAATATTAAAAAAAAAAACACTTTCGCAATTCAAATACAAATTAAGAACTTAATTAGTACTTAAGTACTAATTTAATACAGTAGATTTTATCTGTCACTAGAAGTAATTAAACTGAATTAGCAAAATATCATTTAACAAAAAGAACAAAATCAATTAATATATAAAGAATTTCAGGGTCTTTATCATTGAAGATAGTTCAGGGTCTCTATCATTTCATTGAAATTATTTATTTTTAAAGTTATCAGCAAAGTTATTGTTTTACATTCATTTAAATTTAAACACGCAGACTCTTTTTCTAAATTTTCTTTTTTTAATAACACTTCGATATATATATATATATATATATATATATATATATATATATATATATATATATATATATATATATATATATATATATATATATATATATATATATATATATATATATATATATATATATATATTCAGGTAACCAATAAAGTTTGTGCGGTTTTTCCTAATTCCTATTTACTAACAAAAGTATTATAAGATAATGGTTGTGGTATGGAGATAACTTTGTTTATGAATTGAAACTTTTTTCAAGGAGAATTAATCAGTGTGTTTCATAAGTTTTATTAGTGCGATTTAAATTTAAAATTCTTAAGTTGGGTATGGCTGTGTCAAATGCGATAATTCGCGCCTGTTTACTTTGTTTAAACTTACGCCTGTTTAGTTTAAACTTGGCACCAAAGATGCAGAAGTTGTCGTAAGATATGCGCTGCTTTTGGGGAAGGTACCATAGTAGAACGGACGGGTCAAAAAAGGTTCAAAAAATTTTCTTCTGGAAATGAAAACCTTGAAGATGAACTAAGATCTGGAAGACCATCCACCGTCAACAACGAGGATATCAAGCTGGTAATCGAGCAGAACTCCAGCCAAACATGTCAGGACTTTGCCTTAAGATTTAATGTGAGTAATGAAACTATTCGTTCACATTTGCAACAACTTGGAAAACGTTGGGAGTTGAGCAAATGGGTACCTTTTGAGTTGAGTGAAACAAACAAGCTACAGCGCATAACCATCTGTTCTTCATTGCTTTCCCGCCACAATTTAGTGCCATTTTTTGACCGGATGTTGACGTGCGAAGAAAAATGGATTATGTACTGCAACAAAAAACGAACATATCATTGGTTAGCCAGTAGCGATGCAGTACCGATGACTCCTAAACCACGTATTCACCGACAAAAGGTTTTACTGTATGCATGGTGAACTACAGCAGGTTTCGCTCACTATGAGTTGCTACCAAGTGGACAAACCATTAGTGCTGAGATATACTCAGCCCAATTGGACAGAGTTTTGGTTGTTCTTCACCAAAAACAAGCAGCTTTGGCGAACAGAAAAAGCGTTGTATTCCACCAGGACAATGCACATAACACACCGCAAAAATCACGCGGGAAACTCTTGCACGATTACAATGGGAGATTCTACCTCACCCTCTGTATTCACCAGACCTTGCCCCAAGCGACTATCACCTGTTTTCGGCCCTGGATAGTCATGTGAGAAATCGACAGTTTCAAAATAGAGAAGATCTCGAAAATGAGTTAAATCAATTTTTTAGCTCCCAAACTTAAGACTTTTATAAAAATAGAAAATACAAGCTTCTTTCACAATGGGAGAAAGTCATTTTTTTTTTTTAAGTTGATTAAGGTGCTCCAAGAAGTCCTTACGGTCTTAGAGCATTTAATAGGAAGTTCACGCCTCCTTCCCAAACGATGTCGCAAAACTTACCCAGAGGTGGGGTTTGAACCACGGATCTTACGTTTCTGAAGCAAGTGCGCTACCACTTCGCCACGGCTGCTTGCTGCCACGGCTGCTACGGCTGCTTGCGCCACGGCATTTTTGCTGAAGGAAACTATTTTTCAGAATAAACTTTACTAAAAACGTTTTTTTGTGTATTTATTTATGGACCTGCAAAACCGCACGAACTTTATAGGTTACCTAGATATTTTATTTTGTAGCATTCTATTTTAAAATACCATCTGCATAAAACCCAAAACGGAAAATTTTGTCATTTTTTATATTTTAATTATAATTATTTCTTTTTTCTTTCTTTTTTTCCTCCTCCTCCTCCTCCTTCTTTTTTTTTTTTTTAGTTTATATAAATGAATTTAAAAAAAATTGTAACAGAATAAAAATATTTTTTTTCAATATTTTTATTTTATTACTATTTCTTTTTTAACAAATGTTTTGTTTTTTATTCGGACACGGATATTTAAAAGCGTTTCTAATGGGGTTCGCGATAATTTATGCCTTTTTCTTGCTTAAGCCATTTATAATATATATTTCTATATTTTTTTACATTGTAAACATATTTTTTAAGGCGAAATAAACTAAAATAAATACCATGTTTGCAATTAACATGGTGCAAGTTTTTCATCACTTAATATAAAATTTTAAACACAGAAATACCTTCATTTGATTTTATAACCCAGGGTTTTTGAGCTTTAGCAAAAGCTTCTTCACTTCTTTTAACTTCTTTCAGCTTTGTAAACTGTTTGCAGTATGTAGTATTTTTCAATTCAACAATATTGTTTGATAGTGCTTCCAATTTTGAAGAAATGGATAACTGCAAAGTGGCTAACGAATCAACTTCATCAAAACTTTTTTTCAATGCTTGATTTATTATATTAGACTCACAATACCTGTTAAACGTGTCAAACCACTTTAGCGACCAGCCTATTAAAATTTAGTATGAATTAATTAGTTAATAAAAATTTTCAAAATTTTTATATCATTAAATATGCGAAAAATCATATTTTGTACCTTGGTTATTCCAAGAATGTCATTAAATTAACTATATACGTTATGTGCAACACGAAGTTTATTACCAGTGGGCACAGTACGTTTTTTAAACGTACTGTGTCCACTGGAAAACGTATTAGGTTTAAACCTAATAAAAATGTCCAAAAAACCTCTTAAAAACGTACCGCGCCCACTGGGCTCAGCTTATTGTTACATATAGTCTAAATTAACAATACAAATAATGTTGACCATCGTTATATAAATTGATTTGTTAACCTTTTAACTTGTTTCCGTAAAAGCTTTCAATCGCGCTCCTTTCCTCAACCATTTTTGAGAGATCATCAATTGTATGCACTCCATCCTCAATACGTTTGACAACTTTTTTGTAATTATTTTCCACCCAAAAATTTTCTAATATATCTTCATGTTTCAACTCTTTTGTATTAGAGCATTGAGTTAAACATGCTTTTGCTGTTTTACAGTCTTGATTACACTCGGAACATTTTTCTTGACAAGGAGTTTTATCAACGTCAACTACAGCTATTTCGCCTTCTGTATTTACAAGTTTAAGACTGGGGTTGTTATTTACTTCTGGTGTATTTTTTATCTCCTCGATTTCTGTCACCTGGTTTTCTGTCACTGAATCGGCGAGATTTACGCCGGACATTTTTCTAATTTTCTATTCTAAATAAATGTTCTGTTTAAAGCAATAAATGAAAATTTTGTTGTAATAATATTATTATTTGTTATAAACAATAATAGCATAAATTCATAATATATATAATAAATTCATAATATATATAAAATCAAATAATTTACAATAGGTCCAAAATAGTTATATAAATGTAAAATAAATTTTTAATTTACTTACTTTGCATTATAACTTTGATAAAAACAAGTTTGAAATAATAAAAATAAATAAAGTAACGACGCACTAAAATTTGTAAAATAAATGTACGTTGCAACAACGATTAAATTTTTACAGTAGCATGACTTCGTAAAATAAATGTACTAAGCTTTGGTAGCGTCAAAAAATAAAAATATACCACGGCAATTTGTATAAATATATTTTTACATAAAAAAATATAAATATACTTTTAAAAGTGGTTAGCCCTCTTCCTCCCTGAGTTATTACTTCAAACATATTTTTGTTTAAGTGACATAAATTACGTGCTTATAATTGTTACAATTACACAGGTCAACAAGAACAATACAAATTTTTCTGGTGCTGAGCAAACAATTTGTTTTTTGTATAGCATTTCTCATTTTGATTTCAAATATGTTACTCATTTTCACCGTCACGTCAAGTTGTAAAGACACTTGGGTTCAAATCTTTAGTATTTGGGGTAAATCCCTAATTTTGTCAAAGAAAAAATTATTCAAAAGTATGTTAACCTGGGTCCATGGTTTAAAAAAACTACACCTCAAGGCGATGAGGCGTACGCCTCAGTGCGAGGCGCTGAAGTTTCGCACTAAGGCGTAAGCCTCATTCAAATAATAAAACGTTCGCCTTTATTGGTTCGATGAGGCGCTGAGACGTTGAAACGCTGAGGCTTACCTATGGCGTCGCCTTAGGGGTTGTCCATTAATTACGTCAACAAAATAGGGGAGATCGGGTCTGAACTTTTTTGACAATTGGTGACAAGGGGAGGGGTGGAGGTCATTTAAAGTTGATCTCAACAAATTTTTTTTTTTTTCAGTTTCGTTGCTTAAATAACGGAAAATTAGGCTGAGTTTGTAGCGTAGCTTCTTTGTATAGGGGAGGGGGGGTTGATAAAAAATTAACGTAATTTTATAGGGGGGTCTCTAAAAATTTGAAAAATTTTCAGGAGGGGGAGGTAAAAATTTCAAAATTTTGTTGACGTAAATAATGGACAGCCCCTTATTTACAATGAACTAAAAAAGGCCACCTATGTTGCACGTGAACTTTGTTTTCCTTAATAAGGGTATTATTCCGGCCCCCGAAACCCTCCACTGCGAGAAACCCTCTGTCTGGTCTTCTGCGCCATCTTCTGCTTTTCTGCGCTGCATCCAGCTTCGATTTTAGGCTGCTCGTAGCTCATCGTATTGCATCGAGCTCCACCTCGACTATCGACTCTAGCTCCAACAACATTTTTTAAATTACAGTTTGCTTCAATTTTTAGTTTTTTTAGTTCTAGGAATGCGTTTAGAGCTAGTAATTAAGAAACATAATTTAATTCGATTTGATTTAGTGCGTTCATATGAAACGCATTATAAAAACCGATTAATTGAAAGCTAAAATAAGACTTTAAAAGATATTTTAATTCATAGAGTCCGTTTTTAGTCTTTGATAATATTTTGTTATATACATAAATTATTAAGAACAATATTTAGTTTAGGCGGCGTATTTTTACTTTTATTAACAAAATGAATGTATTATAATTATAATTGTGGATTTAATAAAATTTATAAACATATATCTAAATTATACATTCTGATATTGTATAATTAAACCGTATCTTATACTCATATGCCCGTATATTTGTATTAACTAATCATTAAATTCATTACATGGAATTGCAAAATCAATTGCGGCTCGCTATGATTGATCATTTCGTTTTTTTCTTTACTATTTTATAAACTTACAGCTTTAAAAATTTACAGCTTATTTGTACAAATAATATTGTTTTCATCTTACATACTTTTTCTATCCTTTTTTATAAAAATTACTACTTTAACATTTTCTTTCTCGATATCTTACCTCATCTCTAGCCATATGATTTAATTGTAAGGTTCCACCTCTAATGGTCCTGAATATATGATCTATCATTTAACGAGTATCCACCATGAGTAGGCTCATCTCTCGAGAGAAATTTAGTGCAATAAAGACAGCGGATAGGCTTCAGTGGATAGGAGAATAATAAACTTTTCGGCAATGTGTTTGCTTTTTTTAGTTTGTTTTATCTTTGCATTAGATTTTCATAAATACATGCATACAGGTCCGTTCGTACAGTCGTATAACATGCATACAGGGCCGTTTCAAGTTTAATAGGGTTCTACAATAATTAAAGTGTAAACGTGATTGCACAGACTTTTATCTCCTGCTTGGGGAACTGTCTAGCCCCCAGAATCGCGGCTATACCCTTGTGGCTGAGGATCTTCAGCTCAGCAAAAACCCTTGTATACTCTCTCTCCCGATGGGTAATTTTTAAGAAAACCATTTTATTTACAGCCACATTCCTAAAACTGCGGTATCCGGCCCTGAATTACTTAATTAATCTTTATTTAAATTGCACAGATTTTGACTCAATTGACTTTTAAACGACTTAGTCGGTTTCAAATATGCGTCAACTTTGATCGACTTCAGAAAATATATTTGTCGATTTAGTTGACAGTCGAACTTTTCAATAGTCGTAACAAAACTAGTTTTCTCAAGCAAAATGAGGCGTACGCCTCAAGCGCATTGAGGCTGACGCCTCGCCTCACATATAGGGAAACGGTCTCAATTCGCCTCACGCTCTTTAGATATTGTAAATATGTCCACCACACACATTTACAATATCTAAAGAGCGTTAACATAGGCGTTTGAATTAAAAAAATAAATTTAAATTTTGTGGTTTATAATATAAAGTGCTGCCCAGTGGGCACGGAAGTAAAAAAGGACGTCTTTTAAACGTCTTATACACGTTTTAGACGTTTTCTGAACGTCTTTTGAATGTTTTGGACGTATTTTAAACGTTTAAAAGACGTCTTTTTTACTTCCGTGCCCACTGGGTGGCTATTAACTTATGCATTTATAAAATAGACATAAGTCTGTATCGTTGAAAATATTTATTAATATATTATAATAATACTATGCAGTTGTAAGGAAACTCACAGAAGACTAAGAAATATCTTTTCATCGAGAACCTTTAAAATACAAATTAACTAAAAATTTAAAAAGGGATCGTCCATAAAGTACGTACACTCGGAGAAGAAGAGAAGGTCTGCAATGGCGTTTCTGAGATAAAGGGGCAGTTGGTCAATTATAAAAGTATGGTGACACTAAATTAAAAAAAATATCATAAAATGTTGAGTTAGTAGGTTAAAAGCGTAAGTACTTTTAAGGAGGTAGAGAGTACTCAAAAATGCGTACGGGAAATTGTGGGGATGTGAGGGGGAGGGGATTTTAGCGAAAACAAAGCGTACGTACTTTATGGACGACCCCAAATTAAATTTATGAAACACACATTAACTTTTTGAGGTCTACTGTTCATAAATATTTTACTATGTATAGTTGCTACCTTGCTAAATTTATTTGAAATCAAAATTAGAAATCCTATACAAAAAACAAATTGTTTGCCCGGCACCAGAAAAAAAATTTTTTGTTGACCTGTGTTTTTTTTTATTCCCTTTTTATTTTTACTGTTACTTTTCATTATTACTATTATTTTTTATTTAAACTGTTGTTATTATTATTGTTTTTTAGTTATTATTTTTTCAGCATCACTTTTTAAAATCTTATTACACATAAATATACATTGTATAATATACACATATCAAAAGCAGAAATGCAAAATTGTATTAAACAATTTTCCTCTATAATTTAATACTCCACTAAATATAATTTTTCTCTATATTAGTTGGTTCTGAATTAGTTCTCGTTGAATTTATATTATTTATTATTATATCTTATTATTACTATTTATAATACTTAATAATATTGTTATAACAACATTATTTTTGTTTTGAATTGGCCGATTGAATCAGCTTCTTTGATAATGTTTGTTGAACTCTTTGATAGGTTAGTGAATCAGTAGGAGAAAAATTAAATCTAAACTTGCTTTTACAAAAAAAGTTTATTCAAAGCGTATTTTTGCAGAAGTAAATTAAGATCATTTTCGGATCGTAAATTTTGACAAATCTAATTAACAGTATAATTTATTTGTCTTTAATTTTGTATTGTTGGATTAAATCAAAGTGAATTTTTCTTGTTTGTCTTCTTGTTCAGAAGACAAACAAGAAAAATTTTCTTATTTTCTAAATTGTGAAGTAAAGTTCTGCAACATCATTTACTATAAATGTTGACAAAGATGAGGTAAAAAATGTAAATAGCTCAAAGTTTTTATCACGAATTATTAAAGAAATGCATGTCCTCTGGCAGAGTTTTTTATACCTTCACACAGTGATTGAATTTGTAAAGTTGAAGTTTCACATGAATTTGATAATATACAATGTTTACCTGCTCCTGAAACTAAAAATGTTTATCTGGTCCTGAAACTTAAGGACTTTTTCAAGTATAATTATTGTCATTATACGCATCAGATTTTTCAAAATTTAAGTTTGAAAATAAAATTTCTTCAGAGTTGGTTGACTTACCAAGAACATGCCATATTGATAAAACGTCAGTACATGTCTGGTTCTTTATAGTCAACTAGCTGGTATAATGATGCAGTAACAAACTTACAACAGCCCCCTTCACCAGCTTTACAATTGCATTTAGCATAAAGAACTTTACCAGAAGACTGGCACAGGTGTGTAAAAACTTCGTATTATTTACGTTTCATAAACGCTCCAACATTACACTTTACAATAAACAAATTTATGGATGTTTTTAGATTTGCTTTAATACAGACATTTTTGACGTAATTTTCTTTAAATAAGCAATAACCATGAGTTTGATGCTTTTTGGCTCCTCTTTTACAATTATCCACATATATAGTTTCATTAACAAGATA